AGAGAGAGAGAGAGAGAGAGAGAGAGAGGAAACGAGGGGGAGGGAGTTTTCCTGATATTTCACATATTTTCATAAAAATAACCAATCTCTGTACTCTCAATGAAAAGGCAGATTCAGGAATCGAGACACTTGTAATGTTTTGTAGAAACAAGAACAATTCAGTCAAGATCTACTAATGAATTCACTGATTACAAATTCTCTCGAAGACGAAAATAAGTGCCTTTTTAGCGTTTACTAGCCATCTAGTTTTGGTCACATAAGAATCATTCATCTCTGTCCACCCCGTCTTGATATCTTTGACGAAAGCTTCATAGTGCTTAGTTGTCCCATCGGTGATGTAATAGAAAATGGTACTTTTGATTTTATATGTATTTGCCCAGAAAATTACCTACGATGAGGGGACAGCTTTAATCCGAATATTTGGATTCTTCTTCAATACTTTGTTTGAAAATTGAGGAATACTTAATTTCAATGCCAGTATTCCGTTCGTGGCTTTAACATCTATCTTCCTCATAAATTTCGAGATAACTCGACAGTTTTCCCAGTAAACCTTTGAATGACTGTACCAATGAGAAAATGATTGATCAATCAAATTCTGCATAGTCGTACTGTTTTTATTCCTTTTACATAATACTAAAGCCAGTTCCTCACTCTTGGCAGTACTTGTATATTGACAGATACTACACTTAATAGTAAAGAGTTCTCTAAGAATTCAGATAGGTCGTACTCTTCATCATCACCGAATTGGTTGCCCGCAAATCTTTGAACATGTCGAATATCAAATGTTGAAGTCATATTGGTATAATCATCAAAGAAAGTTTTAAAATCGGATTCTTTCCCTTTCATACGAGTTATAATCTTTCTAACGCCAGAGAAACAGAACAAATATTGAATTATCGAATTAGCATAACTTGTATTGCCATCGGGATTATTGATTCCACGGATCATGTTTGATTCATTGTCTAAGTATTCATCATCAGCATTCTCATCACGAAAATCACGTTCTTCAAAAGCCCATTGAACATCCCACCTTTAAGGCCAATATTTGTCTGAGATTGCAATCTCCGGTAAATCGGGCCTATGCATCTTTCTCAAACGATTATATTCATCGATAGTACCAGAATTAACTTCCACGGAGGAGGGATCGAAGATGATTAAATGAACGCCACTCAAAGTTGTTACTCGAGAAAGGGCAACATAAGTTTGACCGGTAATGAATATCCTATTACCAGCATCGATGACCGCAATCTTCAAACATAAATCTTGGCTCTTGTGAATTGTGACTCCATAGCTGAGACAGATAGGGAATTGTTTCCTTGATATAAAAGCTCCTTCCATAACTTGAAACTTAGCATTAACTAGGTCGAGATCATAGAGTTTTCCATCGCAAAGAGAAACAGTTATTGATTGTATGCGTTCTTGAAATTTGTGTACTGATTTTGAGACTGAAACGATCGTTGCGATGGTCCCGTTAACTAATCCAAGTGTAACGTCGATATTACGTCTAATCATAATTTTCGCTCCAATTTTGACTCGTATGACTCGCGCCAAACCAGCACTGCATCTATCATCTTCTTCCATTTTCTGCAATCTTTTTGAAGCTGTCTTTTTCAAACGAGAAGCTCGGCAGTCAATTGAATCCTCTGCAACCAGAAGAATCTCGTCAGAAGGAATTTTTTCTAACATAGCAGCATTCAAACGATTGCACTGTTTGCATGTTGAGAATAAACAAACAGTGTCTGCTGGTAGCTTATTAATATAATTGCATAATTCATCAATTCCTTCTCGAGTCGGTATTGTATCTAAATTAATTGTACGACTTTGTAATGCCTTTACATCATTTTCCGTCATTTGACCAACTCTCATTTGAACAAGTAGATCACCAAATATTTTATCTGTTTGTTGACGCATGTTAATAATTAATTCGTCATGTTTGAATGATTTTTCCCAGATATTAATACTTGCCATTGAACCCAAGTGTTTTTGAACATCATCATCTGATAACTGAACATATGGGTATTCTTGATGAACTGAGGGGAGTTGTAGCAGATCTCGAAAGAGTACAATATGCTTCTTACCGAACCATCCTTCAGAATCATCCAAAGTATTAAATATTTCAATCAATCGGAGATTGATATACCTCAAATTGATATTAGACACCATTGATATTTCATCAATTATGATCAACTTCACGTCAGCTAATTCTGCACGCATTAATTTTAAAAGTTCATCGGATAGCTGAACATATTGTGTACGATTATTATGCTCAACCGGGAATTGAAAATATCTATAAATGGTCAAACCATTAATATTATAAGCAGCAATCCCTGTTGGGGCGATCACGGCCGTTTTGAATTGGAGTTCTGTTCTGATCCACGTTCGAATTACATCAATCAGAAAACTTTTACCCATGCCACCAGGGCCACTCACATAAAGCCTTAAAATTTCATCTTCCGATAGTAAACAAGCTGGCACTTTTTCGAAAATCCTCCTCTGATCAGTATTCATTTGCGCGATCATATCATCAAGATTCATATTTTTTTCCACATTTTCATCCATTTTTTTAAATTTTTCCATTGCGGCTTTACCTTCTTTCGGATAATATCCGGGAACTATTTCTTTAGATACATCGGATTCTTCTTCAACTTCTTTTTCAATTTCTTTTTTAACTGCATCGTTCAAAAAATCTATACCTCTTTGAAAATTCGTGGCACATTCGTGATATTTATATGCTTCTACAAGTATGTCCTTTTGCGCTTCGAATGCGGAAGTATATGTCTCATGTCCATCTATCAAGTCGCTTATTTGCCTCCATGGTTTGAATAATAACAACAACGCGTGAAAATAATTTTGGAGATCATTATTGACGTTATACCGGA